GTTATCAACTCTTTTTTTAACGAAATGAATCTTTAGGTGTTATAAAAAGGTAAAGTATACAAATACTTTATTGATAAATGACTGACTTCTGTATCCGAGTATATTACCAATACGGAATGATATCTGATGACTATAATGTTCGTATTTACTTTCTCCCTTATGCGTGTTACCTCTAATAGAGCATAAGCCACCGATTAGCACTATCCAACCTACCATCTCTTCCGCATTTCATTCAAGTTCTGTCCAACTATTGTTCATTCTTCTCATGTCTGTCTTCGATTCTCCGCGCAATGTGTTTCTTGGCCTTCCTCTTATTTTCTGTCTTTGAAGATTCCAAGTGAGGGCTAGTCTTGTGACACAGTTCAGTGCTTTCCTAAATATGCATCCTATCCAATCCCGGTGCATATTTTATATGGAAAGTTAAATTTCCGAATCATTGATATTTTGCGGGATGTTTTTAGCGTAATGACGAACAAAATCTAAATTCGTCTTCGTCAGTAACCAGCAATACGTCGAGAATAATCTAGATCAATTTATCCTGTTTTTTTCTACAATCACTGACTGTAACTCTGGTTTAGTTTCACTCTCTGACTTGGGGGGATTTGGTTTGGTTGTGCAGCTTTCATCATTGTTCGACTGCGGAACACAACATCATCAGCACAAACTTCTAATAGAAGAAGTGAAGTAGTCAAATTTCTACGGACACACACATGACCTGTAGCTTGTTCTGTTAACCTCGATATTGATTGATTTTGAGATGGTGGAGAAGATTTGTAGCTCAGGTGCATGATTGTGGTGGTGGTGTTTGGTTCTCTGAGCTGAGGATGTTTTGGTTGTGAAGCTTTCATTGTTCTTCTGCTGAACAACAACATCAGCAACCAATCAAGATCGAGGTTAGTAGAACAAGCTGCAGGTCAAAAAGCATGGAGAAATTAGAATGCTTCACTTCTATCTGGAGCTTGTGGTGATAATGTTGCTCAGCCGATGAACAATAAAAGCTCCACAACTAAAACATCCAGCTCAGAGAACCAAACACCATCACCACATATTGATTGGTTCAATTCTGTCCATTTCACCTCTATCTAAAGTTTGTGCTTCTGATGAATGGCGATGTTGTTCAAAAACATCTTCAGGTCAAAGAACGAAATTCGACCACAATCATCAATGTGAGCTACACATTTTCTTTATCAAATTCAATAAGTTTACTTATTCATACTGAATTGAGATAGTCTTCAGTGGTTTTTACAATTTTTACTGTAATTTCTTTCATTAACTTTGAAGGAGTCATTGCTTTAGGATCCAAACTGAGGTTTGGATTGAGGAATAACTGTCTAGGTAGTTTAGATACACGTCTTGACCTAGTTGAATTCCTAACAAGTGATTTGTGTAAAGAAAGGTTCTAATATTCATCATAAATATAAATATACATCATTACCTAAACAATAGAGCCACTCAGCTGTTCCACCAACAGTTGTTCAATTATTCAAACAAATGATATTCAATCAATCCTGGATAGATCAGATTCATTCCAAAGATAATATTTGGTTGCTTTATAATACAGAGTGTTCCCTATTCTGGAAAACTGCTTCAATTCACAATCAAAATGCACAATTCCAAGCAAAGCAAGTAAACCAATCAAAAGAAAAACAAATCAACATGGCTGTCGCCATAACTAAGTATCAGCTTAAACAGCATAAATGCATTTCAGAAAGAAACATACAAACTCAGTAAAGGCAAAAGAAATAGAAACTATAATAAAATACAAATATTATCATCTCAAAAGTTGAATTGAACAGTCTAACAAAATGTACAACTAGAGGAATCCAGTAAGGACAAATGACAAATGTATACATGGAGGGATTTTCATAAACAAAGCCTTCAAAAATGGATCTTACATTACAAGTTAAACAAGTCTATAGTTTTTGAAAGCATCATTAATGTGAAATTCATCGTTTTTTTATAACCTTTACACTAAAATTGCCCAAGGGTTTTGTCATACGCAAACTACTTGATAGACACTTTAAAAGAAAACTTAAAATGTTTACACTGACTGATGAACCGTATTCATGGTGACAAAAATAAACATTTTTTGAATGGAAATTTTTTACTCAAAAATGTTATGTGTGCTTTTTTGGTTAATGTCTACTGGCCACATGTCAACGCCTAAATTAATTATTCTACTCATAGACGAAACAAATAGACTTAGCTTGAGGTTAAAGCATGTTGCATGCCATTAATTAGGACTATTTTCTAGGACATAAACATTTTGGTTTTTATTTTTGGATCTAAAATGACCTCGATTAATAAATAGGTAACACTGCTTATTTCTTCACTTTCATACCTTAAGGTATTCATAATTATTACTATTATTATTATTATTATTATTATTATTATTATTATTATTATTATTTTCGTCTCATTTACATGTTGTGCATAGTTTGTCCCCTCTATTTCGTTTATCCTATATAAAAAAAATGCATCTTCCTCATTAATGTCCAACTTTGTACAAGTTGACCTTTGAGAGGGAGAAAAAAAAAGGAATACATGAATAATAATGACATTGTATTTTGGTGAATTTTTTATGTTCAACCCAATTTTTTTTAATTATTTGTTGTGTCTATAAAAATTATACATGTCCAATGTCTGTGGTAAGTTGTTGTTTTTGTTTTAAACAAACTTAGTTTCTATTTTTTTTGAGTATAACATGGAATTTCTGAAAAAAATTGTCGGGAAAACTTCTCATGGAACTTTTTTCGGTTAGAGTTTTAGAGATTTGTGGTGTTTTACACACATTTGAAATCATCAATCGATGATTGTTAGATGACCACCATTAGAAAGATGGAAGCACTGGACGGCTGTTTCGTCCTCGTATGGGACTTATCAATAGTGCGCATCCACGACTCAGTTAGAGTTTAAACTCTAACCGAAAATATCGTAACACGTGCTCACCAGTGACTAGCTTCGTGAAGAAATTCTCGGAGTTCTAGTGAGAAGACGTGACTAATGGAGTTCGACCCTGTCGGGTGTAGGGCAGTAACTACCAAAGACAAATGGGTGAGGTCGCGCAAAATCCCTAGATCAATCAGAGTTAGACATTAACACAGTTGGATGCCGGCCCAGTGGTCCGGTGGTTAGGCGTTCGCGCACAATACCGAAGGTCCTGGGTTCGAATCCTGCGAGGTGCATGAGTCGTGGATGCGCACTGCTGATGTGTCGCACAAAGGAGGACGAAATCGCCGTCTAGTGCTTCCAGGTTTGTAATGGTTGTCTACCAATGATTGATTGGTGATTTCAGATGAAATATTTTGTGTGTTTGTCTCAATATTTCGTAATTTACAGATTATGCCTAACCGCGAATAAAGTACACTTTGTTACGCAGTATCACTTTCAACATCGACAATTCTTACAACTGGACATCATTGGGAACTTTCGATCGCTTAATAATTAGTCATTATTCCACTTTAAACTGTTGAATTATTGACTAAAATGGCGTTATCAATTAAATCTTTATGTGTTACTTGAAATTCACCAGATACAGAGATTTTGTTGGGATAGATACATTTTCTGTCTCCATAAATATCATTTGCGACTACTCAAAGCGTTTCTTATGGTATTCTATCTAGTCTTTTAATTGCTCCTCATTGATATTCTTTATGGTTTCTTCTGTAATCGCTTATAAGATTACTAAATAAACGCGAGATCTGATTCTTGTCTGCTCCTAATAACTATAGACTAAATCTACGCTGCGACTTGAACACAAGTGTCAAGACACGATGTACAAGAAGAATTTCTTATTCCAAGGTTAGTTTATGTAGAGAAAAGTGAGGATATTTATCGAGTCACTCATAGTCTCCAACTTCTAGAAGGTTCAGCAAGCTTTACAGGTGATTCTTCATTTCTCAGATGTTGTTTCTGGAAAGATTCCACTTAATACTGATTGAATGAAGCGTTCCATAGCATTTCTGAGCATCTATAGACATTTACGAGGAATATTTCGGAGCTAATCAACGCGCAGCACCTTAACAACGAAATGATTTAGGTTTGTAACTCAGTTGGATGACTTTGGTGGCTTCGAGTTTATTGAAATCATTTATTCATTAGTTGTCCGTTTGATATCATTCTTGATGACATCTTCAAAACATACTTCCTATAAAGTTAAGCACTAAATATATTGTCTAGGATTACAATGAACTTTCAGCAATCATACCATCTACCTGAGAATATATAACATCACCGAAAACTTGTTTTATTAAAAAGAATATCAATTTGTAAATTTGATTAGAAGCGGTTATTTAATTATAGTATCAATTGAAATCTGATGAAAATATAAGTCGAATCAACTCTTGCATTTTGTGTATCTTTCTTTTGCACGCTAACTTATAGTCAACCCAACATGTGTATTCGCATGATTTGGCATACTGATTAGTGGGAAAGTCTACCGTGGATGAATATCTTGTCTCTCTAATTATGATTATGTTTTCAAAAAAGTCATTGGGATCTAACACAACATTCAAAGGGAGACTCATATGAATAGGACATCGATTGTATCTTTATCAATGAATTTTTGTCTACATCATTATCAGGGTTCATTGTTGCAAATTTCTGAGTATTACATTTTTGTTAAAATTACTAAGGCAACATCACAGACAAAACATGAAAATAATTAGTCTTCCATCATTGTCGAGACATCAATGAATATTACAGGATGGTACATACTGATTTGTTATAGAAACGTTTTCAAATAATAAAAATTTATTTTAGGACAGAAGTCTGTACGGTTCATTTTCGCAAAAAATCTCGGTTCAGTAGACACCTAATTATTTCATCTTAAAACGTAGGCATAAAATTCGTGGCTACTTGTAAAATATTTCAGTAGTCTAAAATTATACCACAAATTATTGTCTGTTTTCTGAAGCCTGAAAATCATGAAGTTTATCCCAGTTAATTCTTGTTCAATTACGTGGATATTAATAAATCTTTAGGTAATCCCAACAGCAACATTAGTACAATGAAATAAATTAATTTTATTCAATAAATAATAGTGTGTATTCAACACTGAAATTTTCTGACAAATTTTAACAATTTTTAAGCAGATTCAATCTTGTCCAGCTCGAAATTTTCTTCTCACAACAAACTAATTGAACCATCTGGATGTACTGTCTTTGGTTCCAAATCTTTTAACTGCTTTTTGGCTATTTAGAAACATTCAGAAAAAAAATACAAAACTGAGAAAGTCAAAGGGAAATTATGATCTTAAATTCATCGCCTTATAAATATGTATAATTTTGTTAGAGAAAAATGAATAATATGTTGAACGATAGCACTGTATAAGGTTTGATTTGAGTTCAGCAGCTGTCATTGCGCGGTCATTATTTCAATGTGAATCATGAAAATTATTTATTGGTACCATCATTACAGCTTTTTCTAGTGTTGCAGTTGTTTCCTGTACCTGTGAAACATTCATCTGCTACGAACACACAACTTTCCGTATTATAATAGTGAAATAATCGTTAGATCAGTTCATGAGAATATGTTCGAATGTTCAGTAATGACGATATGTACATTTTGCATTATAGTATTATGAAAATCTTTGTTTTTACACATTAAAACCCATGAATACATCATTGTCAGAGCACGATTAGAAGAAACATGGAAGCACTGGACGGCTGTTTCGTCCTAGTATGAGACTTATCAACAGTGCGCACCCAATACTCCTGCTACTCACCAGTGACTAGCTTTGTGAGGAAATTCTCGGAGTTCTAGTGAGCAGAAGTAACCAGTGGAGTTCAACCCTGCCGGGTGTAGTCAGTAACTACCAAATACAAATGGATGTGGTTATGCGAAATCCTTTGGTTTTTCAGAGTTAGACATTTCAACCGTAGGATACCGACCAGCTCAGTGATACAGAGGTTAAGCGTTCGAGCGCGAGACCTACGATCCTGCGCCAGCATCCTATGAGAAGCAGGAATCGTGAATGAGCACTACTTATGAGTCCCATATCAAGACGAAATGGTCATCCAGCGCTTCCAGTTTCCTCCAACCAACTCTGTCCTGGGCTTCCCTTTCTAGTTCCTCCCAGTTTTTGTTCATTCTTCTCATGTCTTTCTCTATTTCTCGGTGTAATGTGTTCCTTGGCCTTCCTCTTTTCCTTTTACATTGAGGGTTCCAAGTGAGGGCTTGTCTTGTGAGTCAGTTGGGTGATTTCCGCTTCATCCTGATTTCCTCCTCCACTGGAATTTGATTTGTTCTCTCCGACAGTAGGTGGTTGCTGATCGCGTCTAGCGAACGAATCCGAAGTACTTTGCGTAGATAACTGTTAATGAACATTTTTATCTTCTGGATGCTGGCTCTCGTAGTTCTCCAAGTTTCTGCTCCATACAGTAGAATTGTCTTGACATTTTTATTGAAAATCCTGATTTTGGCTTTGGTTGAATGTTGTTTGGAGTTCCAGATATTTTCCAACAGTAGAAATTCAGCCCTTTCTTTGCCGATCCGCGACCTCACATTTGCATCGAATCAACCTTGGTTGTCGATGATGCTGCCCAGATATGTAAAGGTGTTAACATCGTCCAAGGCATCTCCATCAAGAGTGATTTGCTTGGCGCATGTTGTGTTGCATCGGAGAATTTAGCTTTTTCCTTTATGTATGTTGAGACCTACTGCTGCTGAGGCTGCTGCTACACTGGTCGTCTCCTCTTGCAGTTGAATCCATCATAAGAACTCCGTATGATGTTAACTATTTTCTCAGGCACACCGTAGTGCCGAAGAAGCCTTCACAGTGTTTTCCTATCCACACTATCAAATGCTTTCTCGTAGTCGATGAAGTTGATCTAAAGTGGTGCGTTCCATTCAGTTCCACAATTGATCCGTAATGTAGCAATTTGGTCAGTACACAATCGATCCTTACGAAATCCAGACTGTTGATCTCGAAGTTGGACGTCTACGAAGTCCTTCATTCTGTAAAACAATACCCTGTTGAAAACTTTGTCTGGTGTTGAGAGAAGAGTGATGTAAATATTATACCTTTTCGATTTGTATACAACATGAAAATAATCTGAACACTATAAGAATAACAGAACAACTGATCTAACCTTCTCGACGAATCACATCAGCCAAGTCAGGGAAATGATTAGCCAATGCTAAATCAGCTGGTTTCTGACCAAACAGATTCAACTCAACAAGACTTGCTCCATTTTTTACAAGCCATTCTACTGTTTCTAAAAATTTTGAATAAAATCAAATCGATTAGTTGAATAAAAAAAGTAAGGAATACTTGTAAACAATAGAATATTTTATGGAAAATAATCGTATTCAACAAACCATTACAACTTCATTTTCATACAGAACTGATCATTCAGTTTGAAGCTTGACACAAAAAGCTGTTAGTCGACGTAGATAGAGATGAATGATGAACTATGAATTAGTGAAGTACATGAATTTAGTACAGTATATTACTTATTCGTATGAATTAACGTCAATAAAGCATCAGAGGTGAGTCCCCGTTAACTTACCTGTAAGTTTTCTGTATTGTAAGAAACATTTACGCTTCAAAATCAGAAAGAATTAGTTCAATGCATACTGATAACTTGATGTGATTTGCAAAAACATGAATTTTGTCTCAAACAATTGTTTATACACATTAAAATCATGAATGAATCATTGTCAGACCACCAACATTAGAAACCTGAAAGCAATGGATAGCTGTTCCGTCCTGGTATGGGCCTACACATCAGCCATGTGCATCCAAAACTCCTGCTATTCTCAGCATTCAAACCCACAACCTTCAGTCTGTCGAGCAAACGCCTAACCTCTAGATCATTGGCCCGGCATGTAACAGTGGTAATGTTTAACTCTGATCAATATAACGATTATTTCCAACTGCTAGACTCAAATGTCTTTTAAAGCAGTTTCTTCAGATCTTAGTTGTAAGGAATTTGAATAGAGTGATTTATTTCACTTCAACCAAACATAAAACAGTCAAATTACTTACAGATCGACCAAATTCCATACAAGTTGTGTAATGTGATAGAGAGTTAAGTGAAGTAATAAACTTGAATTAAAAATACTTCAGTGTTTTAAATCAAAGAATCTATCATGCTCTATCATACATCATAAATGAAATGAAATAGTATTTCAAAGTACTTGTATTAATGTTGTGCAAGATGAAGGAATGAGATCGAATGCGCATAAACAGCAATGTGGTATTTGTTGAATCTTTCCAGCGGATCTCGTGACCGCTTCACTTATCTCGAGAGTCTCATCAGTGCCGACGGTCTGGTGAGTGACGAAATCTCGGCACCGGTACAGAAGACTTGATTAGCTTTTGCCAACCTGAGTCACTTATTGCGTAGGCGATATATCCGTTTGCTGACTAAAGGACGAGTGTACTACGCAATAGTTCGCTCCGTCTTACTTTATGGCTGTGAAACATGGCCAGTCAGAGTAGAAGATATTCGTAGGTTACTGGTTTTCGATCATAGGTGCCTCCAAAGCATTACTCGAGTATCATGAGACAACGGAGTAAGCAATGCTATCGTTAGGAAACGAGTTCTAGGTAAGGGTGGCAGGTCAATAGATGAAGTACTGAAACTTCATCAGTTGAGGTGGTTGAGACATGTGCTGCCTATGCCTAACCACCGACTGCCTCGACGAGCTATGTTTTGTGACGCAGGAGTAGGTTGGAAGAAAGCTAAGGGCGGCCAAACCAAAACCTGGCAGAAATCCATGAAGTCACTGACAATTGCACTGAGTCATGTTGGCAGATATAGGCTACCTGGTCGGGGTCCGCGAGATGATTATAATCGATGGTTATAAAACCTGGATGACATGGCTCAGAATCGTTTGCAATGGTGCAGGTGCATCCACACATTGTGTTCTATGAAATTCTAATCTGGATTCGTCAACACTTCTACCTTTATCTTTCTAAACTTATTATTTTGAATAATTATAGAGATAATCCTTACTTATCCACTAGACATCAGCCGTTCGAAAATGGTATTTCTTGATAAATATATTATATAGTCTATCAAGAAACATGTAGCGGAAACCACCAAACTGCATCACAATACAAGCCCTCACTTGGAGCAATCAAGGTCAAAGTAAAAGAGGAAGGCTAAGGAACACAATAGGCCGATAAATGGAGACAGATATAAGAAGAATGAACGAAAATTGGACAGAACTATAAAGAAAGACCAAGGACAGAGTAGGTTGCTGAATACTGGCTGGCGGCTTATGCTCCATTGGCGCTAACAGGTATCAGTAAGTAAGAATCATGGTAAAAGTTATTCCACATGTTATACGTCTAGCTAATCAACATTCAACAGACACTATTATTCTTGTTATTACGAACAAACTGTTCTCAGTCTGTAAGTGAATATTCACATAATTGTTCAGTTTTAAACTAACATTTTATTCACTTACCACTATGTCCATTTCTTGCTGCATGATGAACCGGAGAACAATTCATTGAGTCCAACTGATTCACATTACAACCATGTCGTACAAGTACCTGATGATTTTAAAGGAATATTGTTATTTCAGTTGATAAAAAGTCAACGTAAAATCATGATTATTATTATTATTCTATTCGTCTTACGCACAGAGGACAAATTATTGATCAGAATGTATGATTTTACTTCAAATTATGACCAATCAATAGTATTGATCAGTAAATACATAATTTCAATATGACAGTCAATCACACAGTCAGTAGTGTAGTGCACAGAATATGAACTGAACAGATCAATTAGTTCTCAAAGAAATATTTGCTAGACTCTGTTTTTGTAGATTATTATTTCTAAAAGGAAGCTAAGAAGTTAGTTTACTGAGAAATTCTGGTTTAGTGAAAATAATTTGTCAATCAATTTGAAAACATTGATTAGGTAGGTCGGTATTTATTACATTTTCTAATAATATGTGCACGGAATAATTGGAAAAACCAGTGAACATTTCACTAGATAGTAAGTAAGTAAGTAAGTAAGTAACATGTATAAAGAGTATTTTGAGTACAATGGTTAGAAACAATCGTTGGCCAGACACGATCAGCAACAACCTACTGTGGGAGAGAACAAACTAGATTCCGGTGGAGTTGGAAATCAGAAAGAAGTGGTGGAAGTGGCTAGAACACACATTACGAAAAGCCCTCACTTGGAACTGTCAAAATTAGAGGAAAAGAGGAAGGCCAAAGAATACATTACGCCGAGAAATAGAGAAAGGCATGAGAAGAATGAACAAAAATTGGACAGAATTGGAAAGGGAAGCCCAGGACAGAGTTTGTCGGGGGAACCTGGTGGGCAGCCTATGCTCCTTTGGGGGTAACAGGCGAAAGTAAGTAAGTAATTAAGGTTATAAACACTCAACTGGACCACTACAACTTATATCAAATCATCCCTGGAATGCAGGAAATGATGTGAAGTGGTGTCAATCAATCAGTTACAACGTGGAACTTCGTACATGAGTACATCAGTTCAGGTTGCCATACTGCATAAGCACAGAGCCGCAACTATTAGTTCAAATCCCATAGTGGTAGAGATAGTAGAACTATTAGCAGTAATGGAGATGATCAGGGTTCGAAGATATGATTCCAGATTTTTAAGGCGAAGTTGAAGTGATGTAAGATTGCTATCTCTTGATCGGAAAGTTATAATGATAATTACCGGAGAGAGCATTCCTTATGTTTTCTTCCTGCTTTTTCTATAAGACTTTGGGGGATGGTTCTGCTTGTTTCAATGTCGAAGGTTGCATTCTGTATCAACAGTTTCTAATAGTAGAATTTTCAATTAGAATTATGGAGATTAGTGTTTTTACACATTCGAAATCATCAATCAATCATTGTGAGACCACAATTAGAAGCACTGGACGACCGTTTCGTCCTGGTATGGGACTCATTAGCAGTGCGTATCCACGATTCCTGCATCTCGCAGGATTGGAACCCGTGTAAAAACATTAATCTCCATAACCCTAATTGAAAATTTCGTAAAATGTGCTCACTAGTGATGACTAGCTTCGTGAAGAAATTCTCGGAGTTCTAGGGTGAAGACGTGACCAGTGGAGTTCAATCTCATTTAAGTAGTATTCCAGGTCGTTAAATTCAGTTTATATCTTTCAGTTTATACTTCAGGAAATTTATTTTTGTTGTGATTACTTCAGAAAGTATTGAACTACTGTTTACTTTTGTAACGCAAATATAAGGTATGGTTGGTGTGAAGCGAGTTCGAGAATTTCACTAACTCTATTTCTTCACTTACAATTTCTACAAATTCATATCATCGCTTATTCGATGAGCTGTCAATTACAGAAAAACTTTAAACGCATATGATTCACGAAAATCAAGCAATGAAATATCAGCAATATAACTCACTTCTAGACATTTTGGATTTCCCCAAGCTGCAGCTGCATGTATAGGCATCATCCCAGTTAATTCATCTGAATAAAAGGTTACCTAATCAAGTATTTATATATATATATATATATAAAGTCAGTGATTATCATGTATTTCAGTTGAAATTATTTATATGAGAAAAAAATGCATTTAATCGACATTATCAAAGATTAATATTGCCAATAAACGGTATGAATGAGTTTTAATTCGTGTTATCTATCTCAAACCCACATATCGACCGGCGATATCTGGGTTTGATTCCCCTGTGATTGTGACAAGAGGACTTTTGTCCTTTCTTGTAAATTAGGACAATTAGCGACTGAAACTAGTCAGATGGGATTACGCCCAGTTACCAGATTCTACCTAAGATCTCGGTCAATCTAACGGTTGGAACTTGACCACCATCCTTAAAAATCTCAAGGGTCAATGCGATCTCATCTTAGTGTATAGTACGTGGATAAGACCAATATTCATATGAACGTCAGTTTTTTTGGATAAAACTCGGTTGAATGGTTTGCATATTTATCATTCTTGATTTCTAGTGCTCTAGTGATAACTATTAACAGTCTCTTTTATAGTTATTAATACACCATAATAGATAATTAGTGTTACGATTTTTCGCTAATATAGTTTCAAAACGAAGAAATGCTTTATTAAGAAGGGTAGATTGCCCATTCCTCAACGATAATGATATTGGTTACTAGCATACTTTCTATACTGAAGTCACCTACAAACGTTTTCTCTTTCAGTCATATTAGTCAAATGAACATTTTTAGATATTAAATTAAAATGTTTTAGGTAAATTCAAGTAAACTACTTATATTAAAAAAGTAGGCATATTCTATTTCAAAAAGTATTTAAGGTAATTATGACAGATAAGTCATTTAGATTCAGTTTTCGCATTGATGTTTAGGACAACAGTTCATTGGCGTCTTTGGCATGAGTGCATCTTGAGCGGATTACCCGAATATAACCACTCAACCACAAACATTATAAGCAGGGGTTGATGGTGGTCATCTGTAGAATCTAGCCTACGAGACCCTTTTCATCATACTCACCCAATTAAACATACTTTCTGCACTAAAGTCACTCACAAATCTATTCTTTCTCAATCAGGTTGATAATTTTATAGCCC